ACTAGCCTTCCAGCTGGCATATTTGAGGGACTTGGTAATCTGTTGGATGTGTATCTTCACGATAATCAGCTGACTAGCCTTCCAGCTGGCATATTTGAGGGACTTGGTAATCTGGATTACTTCTATATTAACAATAATCAACTGACTAGCCTTCCCGCTGACACATTTCCAGTGTTGGCCTCAGCTTCAGATGTTGACATTAGTGAAAACCCCTATCAGTGTGACTGCAAGATGCTCCCCTTTAAGCAATTGATGAACGGGTCTCATGATTTTGAAAGTCAGATCGCCTGTGCCGGACCTGCTAACCTTACAGGGCAAAGCTTGCTTAATGATGTAAATCCTGAAGATATGATCTGTGATGTGACCACACCAGCTCGCTCCACTGCACCAGCTTCTACCCCCCAACCTGCACCAACCTCTACCCCCCAACCTGCACCAACCTCTACCCCCCAACCTGTACCAACCTCAATCCCAAAACATACACCAACTTCTACCTCCCAACGTGCACCTACTTCTACTCCCAAACCCCTAGCAAGTTGTAGCAAACTTTGGAAGAAGTGTTTAATTGCAAAGTTTTGGAAAACGGCAAATTGCCGCAGTCAGTTTTGCCAGAAATGCCGCAGAAAGGCTCGTCGTAGATGCCCAGATCGCAGGCATTGGAACACATGTTTTAATGAACTTAAAAACAGGTGTTCCTAACGGTATACTCTAAAAAGTTGCTACACGCTCTACAACAGGTGTCACAAGGTCTACAAAAGGTGTCGCATGCTCTATGACAGGTGCCACAAGCTATAAAATAGCTACAAAACTGTAGGTACATGGAGCTTTAGAGGTGCTGCCCAAAACTGTAGGTACATGTAGCTTTAGAGGTGCTGCCCAAAACTTAAGGCACATGTAGCTTTAGAGGTGCTACCCAAAACTGTAGGTACATGTAGCTTTAGAGGTGCTACCCAAAACTGTAGGTACATGTAGCTTTAGAGGTGCTTCCCAAAACTGTAGGTACATGTAGGTTTAGAGGTGCCTACTCAAAACTGTTGGTACATGTAGCTTTAGAGGTGCTGCCCAAAACTTAAGGCACATGTAGCTTTAGAGGTGTAGCTTTAGAGGTGCTGCCCAAAACTTAAGGCACATGTAGCTTTAGAGGTGCTACCCAAAAACTGTAGGTACATGTAGCTTTAGAGGTGCTGACCAAAACTGTAGGTACATGTAGCTTTAGAGGTGCTGACCAAAACTTAAGGCACATGTAGCTTTAGAGGTGCTGCCCAAAACTGTAGGTACATGTAGCTTTAGAGGTGCTTCCCAAAACTTAAGGCACATGTACATGTAGGTTTAGAGGTGCCTACTCAAAACTGTAGGTACATGTAGCTTTAGAGGTGCTACCCAAAACTGTAGGTACATGTAGTTTTAGAGGTACTTTAGAGGTACTGCCCAAAACTGTAGGTACATGTAGCTTTAGAGGTTCCAGGCCAAAACTGTTGGTACATGTAGCTTTAAAGGTGCCTCCCCAAAACTGTAGGTACGTGTAGATTTATAAGTACCAGCCCAAAAGTGTAGGTTCATGTATGTTCAGAGGTGCCTGACCAAAACTGTAGGTACTGTAGGTTTAGTTCACCTAAAATAGTGATGATTCGGTAACTGGTCCAGAGTCCCTCAAATATGCCATGTGAATGTGAGGCTTAAGATGCCGCCAATGAAAATTAATGTAGGCACATGTAGGTTTAGAGGTGCCTGCACAAAACTGTAGATACATGTAGGTTTAGTTCTATCTCTGTAACTTGAATCTGGTCCAGAGTCCCTCAAATACGCCATGTGAAAGTGAAGCTTAAGATACTGCCAATGAAAATGACAATAGAGAATGGCGATGGAAAACGTCTGTGTAGTCCTCAGTCCCACAAGAATAGAAATAACCTGTGTTGCACTATCTTTCGTTGATTGGGCCTTCTTCCTAAAAGCCATACACCTCTAACTCAAGAGAACCAATGTCATTCTCAGAACTACCAATAGGAGCCCAGGGTTCTTTATCATTATGAACATCAGTCCAATAGGAGCTCAGAATTCTCTGTCACCATGGAAACCAGTCAACGCAGCCTCCAATACCATGATATAAGTCAGTTCTAAGTCTGACAATAATTGGTCCATGTTAGCACATATGTATACATCAACAGGATTACGAACAAGATGTTCCCAATTGTTGCCAATTCTTCTGAGTTAGACTCTTCGAGGTGTTAACCATCAAGCTTTAAGGGACCTGAGTCGTCTGACCAAAGGAAGGACTGCTAGAAGCGTGATGTAGTCAGGCTATGTGAGAGAGAGACAACCATATCCGAATATGGTTACACAAACTAATTGCAACAATCATTTTAAGAGGGCAACAAAGAAAGAAACTGAAATGACTGAACACGGGTGGAAAAATGTAGAAGGCAGGATGTTAATGAGATCACTGATGTACAATTTTGAACGTATTTTCTTCCATCTCATGTATACAACTACTGTTAACAGAAGACCTGTGTTAACCAACAATATCATTCTTCTTAAATAAGTATCATAAGTATTATAGTCGTAATCAACATACAATCTTTAGGATAAGATCTTAACAAACATCTTTGTGGTGAAAGGACTAATTTCCTCAACTAGGAGTAGTTGTATTTTATTTCAACTAATTACGTTCAGTAATATCTTTAACGTACTTCAGCACTTAGTGAATTTATAATGGTAATGGTTTCAGTTTAAATCTAATTTAGAGTGGTGCAAAATAACACATTGTAATTGTTCAACTTCACTACAGAATAGGAGATCAACTCGATCTTTACTGACGACTTTGTCATCAAAGGATGTATCATTAACATTCAATAATCATAGTTACTTCAGAAACAAGTGTTATATTTCCTTAGATCCAATGTACTATTTTGCTAAACTCAGCAACATGCCACACTGGCAACTTCAAACTCACCAGGCATTCTTATAACCCCCTGAGCACCCCCTAATATCCCCAACATTTCATTCATACTCTGATGTACTGAGAAACCCCCTGAATGTCCCCAAATTGCCCCTATTCTTTCAAGAGTAGGGTGATCTTCAGTAACAATGCATTTTATTTTTACAAATTTTTACAAATATCTTTTTGCTGTTTGATTCACTACTGTGATTGAATGATAATGGCTAATTTTACTGTCTTTATTTAAAATTGGGGTCCAAATTAGGAAAGTTTGGTTACACGTACAAGAGAACAAAAACTTGTTATCTTTGAAATTCATTTTGATATGGAGCTCTCTGAATACAATCAAAACATTACTAAATTATATATTCATAAATATATCATACAATAGAGAATAACACTTGTTTCTGTCAAATTATAATACTGCTTTCAGTTTTTTTATAGAGAATATCATATGTATAATTTTGTGGTGAAAGGACTTGCTTTTCTAAAACTACATCTACATTTTGCTGTTTCAAATTTCTATAAGAGTTCACCTTATGGATTCAATACTTATAATTCAATACTTACAACGTTTACAACAGTTACTACATTTTGTTGGTGAAAAGATGGCTGAATAAAGTTCAAAGGGGAACTAAAAGTCTGCGGCTCCGGCGTTGTTACTGAAGGATGATTGTGGTACAGATGTGTCAGTGGGTTTAAGGGACATTATTACCATCTACCTAATCTCCAAGCAGATATTTCGGTGGGGGGAAGACGGTATCAAATTGGCCAGTCTGTAACCATTTCCCCACAATCTCCAAGCAGATCTTTCGGTGGGGGAAGACAGTATCAAATTGGCC